GTGACCTGGTATACTTTTTTGTGTTATGCCATCTGCTCTTTGGAAACTTTTGAGAAAGCTTGCTCTGAGCTAATTGAGTTTGAGCTTGGTCAAGGCTCTCACAGGTTTATTGGATCTCTGGTGCAACCCTGGAGTTTTGTTTGCGGGTGAGTAAGCTTTCACGGTTTCAGAGCAATATATTATATTATTGCCAAGAAAAGGCATCAAAACTTGGAGCTCCAGAGTCTCACGCCCCGAGGATTTGAAAGGATCCAAACCTATGGACCTCCAGCTTGGACAACCAAGTGAGAATAGATTCCCGGGACCATGGTGCCTGGATCAAATCAAACTCGAGCTCAGACAAGCCATCTTCCAGAACAATATCTTAAACGGATGTTGCTGGTTCTTGTTGCAGCATGCTTATACTTTGTTTCTCAAAAATAGCTTCTGCATCAACTGCTTGCTCAGATTGAGATGCAGAGTCCATCCAACCCGTTTTGTTTGCCATGGCCTCGCCACAGCATGGAGAAAGTGAGAGTTTCATTCCATCGAGAAGAGAATGGTTTCTTTCTTGAGCTTGACAGCAGCAACGCGCTGCGCGCCATGCGCCACAAAACGAAAATCTCTTGCGCCGCTGTTTACATTATGGTATCCGTTAAGAAGCAATTAGTGTACACTTTGGACGGGAACCTGATGGCCGGGTACCTGGCTAGAATAAAAAAATATATTGGCAAGGTCACAGGTTCGATTCCACAGCCAGAGAGCCAATCAAATTTTTTTGTATGAACGAGGGATTTCTCTGCTCCGCAAAGTCGCTCTCGGCAGCGTTGCTGGAGCTCTCTAGGCGCGACGCCACGAATGATCCACGCCGCCGCGCCGGGTTCAGGCTCTTGGATCGCGCGATATTCCCTTTCGCTGGCAAATGCGAGCAGCAAGAACAGGGCATTCGATCGATGCGGCGTCAATCTTGTTCGATTAGGAGTTCCGTGATGGTCTCCTGGAACGCGATGGTCACCGCGTATGTGGCGGCATCCCGCATCCGAGAGTGAGAGTGTATGTTTGATTGCGTCTCAGAGCGCCATGGAACTCGATGATAATGGCGCTCGCGCAGCAGGGGCAAATTGTGGCAGCGAAATCGAGCTTGGGCAAAAACGCCGGCCAAGGATCTGGTTCTGGTGTCCTGGACGAATCTACTGCCCAGAATGACAGGACGTTCCATGGGTTCCCCTTCCAGCAGTGAATAGCAGAGGGGGGATTTGGCCACCTCCAAAGAAATGTTTGATTTCATGCCGGATGAAGACGGTATTGATTCGGCCAGTAGCTGCTCTCCAGGATCCGCGCGTGGATCCTCTGGCCTCGCAGCCACGTGGACAATCAGATGGATTCCAAATCCTTTTCAATAAGAGGTGCTGAAATAATATTTTGTTATCACCCAGTGTTCATGGCTTTGTGGTTATAGCATGCACGCTGTAATGTTCTATTGTGAAGGGTTGCTGGGTTCGATTCCCATCCGCCTCGACTTTCAATTAAGAATAATACGGTGTTAGGGTCGCCCCCTAACATGAACACTATTTTATTATTTTATTATTCTACTATTTTATTATTAAATTAACTGTGTTGTTGAGTACCATTTTATTATTTGCCTTTTTATTATTTTACTATTTTATTATTAAATTAACTGTGTTGAGTTTCTAGGTGTTAAGTACCATTTTATTATTTTCCTTTTTTTAACACTATACAATTTACTTGTGAGAGTGACTCTCCTCAAAATCTCACCTAAGATTAACTGTCGACATTATTACAGACTTAAACAAACAGATCATTAAAAAGTATTAACTTAGGTGCATCTCCACTGTAGTCATGCAATCAAATTTTGTGGAAGGGAAGATATATATTTGATTTGCTCCAGTAGCACACAAACAGCACAAACATGCCATTGAGCTTACCAATTCGATCATATACACCAAATTCTCATCAGTTGTCACTTCAGCATAATCTATCAATCACACACAATGTTGTGCCATTGAATTCTCGATGACCCTGCCAGCATATGCAAGCCTTCCTCACCAATTGAACAAGAAAGACGCTAGACAACAAGCTAGAAATAGTGAATGAGAATGAACTTTTAAACGCAGTTTATATTAGTGGTAACTACAAACAAATAAAAGGTTAAGAGCGATACATCACAGCCGTTGGATTAAAGGATATCTTAGAATATACCATCCAAACCGTTAGATTTTAGTGCGGCTACGGTTTCGCAAGGTGAGAGAGACTCGGGTATTCGTCTTCCTCTGTGCAGCGGAAAGCTGCCATCTCTCGATGTTTGGGTGGCTTGAATCCCTCGGAGCTCTCCATCCGGTTGCACCCAGACAAAGGCGACGTTTTCCATCCCCTCTCTCTCAACTACACAACGGGCCTGTCGTGCCGGACTTGGGACGAGCTGGTCCAGGAGCTCAGCTGCATCTATTCTGACGCAATTGCTTCGCTCCCTGACACATCCCTTCCGGACGCCAAGACGCAGCAAAATGCGGCGATCATCCAAAGGCATCCAGCCGCCCAAGGACGAAAGGGAGCCGGCTTGGATGTCAAAAACCGAAAACTGAAAGATTCCAAGGATTCAAATGAAGAAACCTCGATACCCAAAGAGCCTCACCATGGATTTTAGACGATTCCTGGTGCCGGATAGCCACACAGAAAAAAAATTCAAAAAATGGATGGATTTAACAGCAAATGAAATCGATCAAGATGTGGACGTTAGATCTTGCTTCACCTGATATATAGAAGCGACTATGTTCAGGAAGTGAAATCTCCCATTACCAAGACAAAATATGTAGATCCTATTTTAAAAGCTTCTAAGTGATTACTGTATTGATGCTATTCGTGATGGATAAAGTAGTATCCTAAGAATTACGACGACTTCCATCATTAGGACCATCCAAGGCGTCGTTTCCCTCACGAAGAACAGCTTCGGTTAAATCCCGGAGAAGAATCCAGTACCGTGGATCCTCGCATTTGCGAGAATGGGCATTTTGACAAGGCCGTTCACGAGATCCTGCGCAAAACCATTGTCTGCTGGATAGGTCTCACGCAAGTTTCAACTTGAGCGCCGCCAGGAGCATGTTTGAGAGCATGAAGATGCGCACCTTGGTTTCCTGGACCACCAACGCTCAAAACGCTTGAAGGACAAAATCAGGAGTCAGAACCATACTCAGGTGCTTCAATCCCTTTCGAAAGCTTCCACAGTCAGACCGTTTGCTTCTAACCTCCAAACCATTCAAACGCCATTTCAGCAGCATTCACTCTCTGCGTTATCTCTTTGGCTTCTTCCAATCCACTCTCGTAGTCTGTCACGCGTTTCCTCCAAGAAGACACAAGAGCATCGTACTCGTGCTTTTCCCACGCAGGCAGATAGCGAGTGAACGTTGTCCGCTTGGCTTTTCTGACATTGAACTCGTCTGGTGATGAAGCAGCAACAAGGGTTTTATTTCCAACCATCCGCCCCAAGTCCACTCACTGATCAATGAGATGGTATCTACTTTGCTGTCCAGCACAATCTCCTGAGGGAAGTCTTCTCTATTCACCACCCTGAGATTGAAATCAAAACAGTCGCTCTGGACTTGTAGATCATGACTGGAAGTACCAGACAAATGCAGATTTACCAACCCCCGAATTTCCATTCAAATGGCAGCACAACATCCACATGAACGGCACCAGGATCTTCCTGATCTCTTTGTACAACCCTTACTACTCCTTTCTTCCAAAAGTATGAAGTTAAGAATTTAATTTTGAATTATGTTAGAGTTGGGACTATAGGTTAGTAGTTGGATTTAAAAACTACTGAAAAGGCCTTTCAAGTGTTCAAGAGTAGCTCTTACTCTTGAAAGGGTGGCTCAAGTGGGATGGTGTTCTATTTAAGTACTATAAGATTTATTAGTCTTCACTCCTTTCTAAAGGGTTTATACCTATGGAGAAGATACATATATTTAATCATTATTTGATCATTAGGTAATGTTTCTCTATTTAGAAAGTGTTTTGTTATATGAAGGGAATTTAAAAACCTAAAGCTTTGGTGTACTTAACTACATGTTTAGGAGGAATGTAGCCAAACATTAAATCCATTCTATATTAGAAAGGGGGATTAAAAGAAAGAGTTTAGAAATCCATGAAACAAATAGATAACACTTTCTTAATTGTGCAGTGAATAAAATCAAATAAAAGTTGGCATAATAGAAGTGGACCTTAAGAAAAGAATTTAATCATAGCCAAATCAAAGTTGGTCGGATAAATAAAGTAAGCTGACAAATTAACAAAAGAAAGATTTATGGCTTATAGACAATGTTTAACATGACCTACTGTATCATACTATATAATCAAGATATATATATAGATCTGATTGAAAATTTCATGTTGGGAAGTCCAAATTAGAAAATATTATAGGGTGGCTGCTAAAGGATTTCAAACCTGAATCGAAATATAATCCACCATCTGGTTCAATGAGTAATATTTAACAACAGTCTGATAAACCGCTTCTAGCCATTAGTCTGAAGCTATATCTGCCTTAGGTGAGAGATTAATCCAGGAGCCACTTTTTTCCTGTCTCCTCTTGCCACTCTCACAATATCACACTGTAAGATTATTATGGTATACTTTTCTAATCAAACAGCTGAAAATTTATACATACACCAAGCCTATGCCATTCACATGAGTGAGATGGCCATGCCATATAGTTTAGAGGAATAAATATGGGAATGTTTTCCATTCCATATTCATTCTTAACTATATAAGAGTTAATTTTTTTTTACCATAACTTGCCTTAATACCGCGAGCCACCCATTATCTATTGTTGTAGGTATGACTTACTCTTACCATCCACAACACATCACCAGGTCCAAAATGGTCCAAATCTCCAATTTACTTTAAAGAGATTTCTCTACCCGTAAGAAAGGTCAATTAGTTGACAAAACGGACCAGCTGTACTGGAAAATTTCCTAAAGAATATTCATTTATCCTTTTTCAATCCCAAGAAGAATATCGAGAAGATTTTGGCCGAGGGATGGAGATATATATCCCATGAGCTGGGAGAATCGAATCGATAAGTTCTTGGAACCCTTGTTCTAGGGGCTGGATGGAATGGGGGGCAAATGGAGCTTGGCGACGGGCGCCTTGCGCTGGGAGTGATCCAGGGCGATCCAATGCCAGCGGCAGTGGATTTCTGCGTTGCCGAGGCTAGGGCAATCACGAAATGGATCGATCGATTCCAGTGCGAGCGCGATCCAGGTAATCTCTCCATTTTACGCAGCTGTAGAAGAAAACAAGGAAAAGAAAAAAGAGAGAGCTACAGGCCAGGCCAGACAAGACTGACAAGCGAAGAGGAAGATTAGATAGATAGAGATAGCAAAGGAAGGGATGCAAATCAATGCCATTTCACGCGCTCCGAGATGGAAGAGTAGGAACACAGTGCTCTACTGGAGTAGCAGTAGCAGTAGCAGTATCAGCGTCAGGCACAACAAGGGTCTGGAAAATCACAGGAATTCTTCTTTCTCCTTGTCCAGGTATGTTCTCGGGATAGAGAAAACTCTTGCTAGAGGCCGGGAGGGGCATTCCAAGGCAGGGATCCGAATTGAGCCATGGGAAGCTCGCGCTTCTCTCCTGCTGCTACATTTCGATTCGCAGCAGCAGTGGCAGCAGAGCTAGCAGCAAGCCCGCAAGGCAGTGGCACGAATCAGACTAGTAGCGAGAACACCAACAACACCAGCAGCGTTCCAGCTTCGTTCCGGCCGAGCATCGCAGTCATTGTGGGAGTTCTCACGACGATGTTCTCGCTCACTTTCCTGCTGCTCATCTACGCTAAGCACTGTAAGAGGAATCCGGGTGGAGTCTTTGGAGGTGGTGACGAGCTCCCAATGATTTTGCCGCAAGGTCACCAGCAGCAGCAGCTCCTTTTCGGCCGGACCGACACTGGCATCGACTCGGCAGTGGTGGAAGGGCTTCCGACCTTCTCCTTTTCGTCGCTCAAGGGGAACAAAGACGGCCTCGAGTGCGCTGTGTGTCTCTGCAAGTATGAGGAGCGCGAGATACTTCGGCTCCTTCCCAAGTGCAAGCACGCCTTTCATGTCGACTGCGTCGATACTTGGCTTGGATCTCACTCGACGTGCCCGCTGTGTAGAAGCCATGTTTCTGCCGAGGATCTCCTGGTGGTCGATGAGATGATGCTGCTCATGCTCTCCTCCAGGAGGAGATCACTAGATCAAGTTCCTCAGCAGCAGCCTTCGAGAAGTTCTTTGGATATCGACATGGGATCGGCTCACGGTACCGGCTTCCAGATCTACATCCAGAGAGAGGACAACGACGAGCCGGCCTATTCCTTGAATGCGGTGGCGGAAGAGTCCGAATCCTCTGGTTTTGTTGCGGCGAGCTCTACTCCTCGAGAACCGGCTAGATCAGATCATGGCTGTCTGCGGAGAGTGGGTCACAGGATCATTGTCTCAGACGTGTTGCTACAAAGGAGATGGAGTGATTTGGTTCCGTCGGACGTGCTTTTCCTCGGCAGCTCACAGGCACTCTTTTGTCCGAGCATAGAGCACACGAGTTTTGCTCACTCCAAGCAGCCTTCCTCGCTACTCAAGAGAGCTTTGTCGCTTGGAAGAAACGTAGACACGATGGGCAGTACTCGCTCGTCCGTGGTGTGCTCCCAGCGGTGTATGTCCGAGATGACAGGACTGGACAGGCTACACAACAGCTCGACTTTGTTCTCCAAGAAGGACATCCTTGCTTCGAGTACCCGGCATCAAGTTGACGAGCACGAGGAGGCTAGCCGAGTGATGTGGAGGTCCATTGCCAGAAGGACTCTCAACTGGCTGATGAGAAGGGAGAGCAGTAGCAGCAGGATCATCAACTCAAGCACGACTTCTTTTCCGTGGCTCGGAGGAGGGCCTTACAAGCATTCAGTGACAACAGGAGCAGCAGTATAGCAGCGTCAGCAGCGGGGATTTAAGTGATGGACAGTGGCGAGTCACGCAAGGCACAGGAAAATTCCCAGGAGCACGTAGAATAAGAAGAAGGCAACAAGAGAGATGAGCTCAGCAGGCAGTGGAGTGGGAGAAAGTGTTTTGCTACACGTTGATGTTGAAAGAGCGAAGGCACAAATGGTTGGCACCTCCCCTCGATGGAGAAGGTTTCGTCAACGAGCAAGATCCAACTTGTTCTACGCGAGATGACAACTTAACGTATGAATGAGGCGAGCTTGGCTTCACGGGTGGAACAGGAAGAACGGGAAAGGTGGTCTTCATTCCCAGGCAGCCACAGTTCCAGCTCCAGTTAAAGACGGCTTCGATCACACTTGGTTTGAGGATTGGAAGAAGCAGAGGCTGGAAGATGCATTGCAGAGGCTGGACGAGTTTGAGAGTCTTCATAGCAACGTATACGCCTTGCTCTTGCGGAAGTGTGGTGCGGCCAAGGATTTGCATGCTGGGAGGCATGTCCATCTTCGCATCCAGGAGAGGAATCCATCCGCGGACGAGACGTTTCTGGCGAACTTGGTTGTGGAGATGTATGGGAAGTGTGCCCGTGTTACGGACGCTCTCATGGTCTTTGACGGGATCTCGGCAAAGAACGTCTTCTCGTGGACGATGATGATGGCAGCGTATTCCCAGAACGGGCATTACCGAGAAGCTCTGGAGCTTTTCACGAGGATGCAGTGGGAAGGGACGAGACCGGACAAAGTCGTGTTCGTGATTGCTCTTGACGCATGCGCAGCTTCTGGAGAGCTGGATCATGGACGACAGATTCACTCTTCGGTGGTGGGCAGCGGATTGACGAGCAACATCATTATCTCCAACTCGCTCGTCAACATGTATGGGAAATGCCAGGACGTGCCTTGTGCCGAGAAAGTTTTCGATGGGATGCTGCTGCGAGACGTGGTGTCGTGGACCGCAATGCTGGCTGTCTACGCTCAAAACGGGTGCTGGAGCCAAGCTCTCGAGTGTTTGTCGAGAATGGACGCCGAGGGAGTAAAGCCCAACCAAGTAACTTTCGTCACCATTGTGGACGTTTGTGCCAAGTTGAGGCTGCTGGACCTGGGAAGAAAAATCCACCACCGCATCATCAACGAAGGACTCGAGCCGGATGGAATTCTCGGAAATGCTTTGGTTCACATGTACGGGAGCTGTGGGAGCTTTGACGACATGAAGAGCGTGTTTAGCAGGATGGGACAGAGCAGTGTTCTTCTTTGGACGACCATGATCGCCGGCTGTTCTCAAAACGGGCAGTACGAGGAAGGATTGTTGGTCTTTCGGAAGATGGACCTCGAAGGTGTCAAGGCCAACGAGGTGACTTACATGAGCATGGTAGAAGTTTGCCGGAACTTGGATGCTGTCAAGGAAGGGGAGATGATCGATGCCCGGATTTTGGAGAGTCCTTTCTGCTCCAGCACGCTGCTGGCGACGTCGCTCATCAGTCTGTATGGCCAGTGTGGAATTCTCGATCGAGCAAAAGGCCTGCTCGAGCACATGTACCAGCGAGACGTGGTTGCCTGGAACGCAATGGTGACGGCTTGTGCTCAAAACGGGGATAACTGGGAAGCGATTCATTTGCTGCGAAGGATGGACATGGAAGGCTTCGGTGCCAATAAGGTGACTTATCTCAGCGTCCTCGAGGCCTGTGCGAACTTGGAGGCTCTCTCACAGGGACGAGAAATCCACGCCAGAGTACTTCTGTGCGGGCTCTTGCAACGGGAGGTTGCGGTCGGGAACAGTGTGATAACCATGTATGGAAAGTGTGGACAAACAGAGGCCGCGATGAGCGTCTTCGAGGCCATGCCTCGGAAAGACGACGTCTCCTGGAACGCTGTTATCAACGCAAGCGTAGGCAACTCAAAGTTCCAGGACGCTCTGGAACTTTTCCACGGCATGGAGCTAGAAGGCTTGAGGAGCAACGAGTTTACGCTGCTCAGCCTCTTGGAAGCTTGCGGCGGCCTGGAAGACTTAAAGCTGGCGAGACAAATTCACGCGCGAGCTGCTGCTGGAGGCTTCGGTGGTAACAGCACTGCCGTTGGGAACAGCGTTGTCAACATGTACGCTCGCTGTGGAAGCTTGCTCGACGCGAAGAAGGCCTTCGATTCTCTGGAGGAAAAAGGCCTCGTGGCGTGGAGCATAATACTGGCGGCCTACGCTCAAAGCAAAGATGGACCCGGCAGGAGAGCCTTTAAGTTCTTTCAAGAGATGGAGGCCGAAGGAATCAAGCCGGGAGAGGTGACTTTCGTGAGTGCTCTCGACGCCTGCGCGGCCATGGCGACTCTGGAGCACGGAAGATCCATGCACAGGCGAGCAGCAGCCAGTGGCTTCGTGGAGACGAGTCTCGTTCTCGGCAACACCATCATCAACATGTATGGAAAGTGCGGCAGCCCGAGCGACGCAAAGCTGGTCTTCGATCAAATGCCGGAGAAGTGCCTCATCTCGTGGAACTCGCTCATCGTCGCCTACGCTCACAACGGTCACGCGCTGGAAGCTCTTTCCTCGCTCCAGGAGATGCTACTCCAAGGCTTCGATCCCGACAGTGGCACCTCTGTCAGCATTCTCTACGGGCTCAGCCACGCCGGTTTGCTCGAGCGAGGAGTGGAGCACTTCCGGTCGAGCATCCAGGACCACGGCTTGGAGCCGAGCTCCGGCCAACTTAAGTGCCTCGTCGACTTGCTGGCTCGCAAAGGCTTTCTCGACGCGGCGGAGGAGCTCATCCTCGCCTCGCCGGCGTGCCAGGCCGATACCATCGCCTGGATGACGCTCCTGGCGGCGTGCAAGAGCTATGGCGATCCGCAGCGCGGGATCCGGTGTGCCGAGCGTGTTTTCGAGCTGGAGCCACAGCACTCGGGATCGTTCGTGGTGCTGGCCAACTTGTACGCATCGGTTGGAAGATGGAGCGATGCGTCCAGGATCCGGAAGATGATGGAGCGGATGAGCGTGAAGAAGGAGCCCGGGTGTAGCTGGATCGAGCTCAGCGGCAGCGTCCACGAGTTCATCAGTGGCGAATCCAAGCATCCAAAGATCAGGGAGATTTGCGAGGATCTGGAGAAGCTCACGCTCCGGATGAGGGAGGCGGGGTATGTTCCCGACACGACAAACGTTGTTCACGACGTGGAGGAGGGCGACAAGGAGGAGATACTGTCCCGGCACAGCGAGAGGCTGGCCATTGTGTTTGGTCTCATGTCCACCCGGCCGGGAGAAACAATCCGGGTGGTGAAGAACTTGCGGGTCTGCTCCGACTGTCACGCTGCGACTAAGATCATCTCCAGTGTCGTTGGACGAGAGATTGTGGTGAGAGACAGCAGCCGCTTCCACCATTTCAAGCACGGGCAATGCTCGTGTGGAGATTTCTGGTGACACGAAAGCCAGCGTATCTGTAAAAATCACGTCATGCTACTTTAGCAAGAACTACATTTAGTTCCAGTGGCAGAGGGAGTAGTTAACATGTTACTTTAGCAAGAACTGCATTTATATTCAAGTCAACGTCGTGGACTAAAGAAGTTGACTAACAGCTTGTATCAGCCTTGTAGGTGAGAAAACTTCATGTAATCAGCGAAAGAGATGTCTCGATAAAGAGGTGGGCGATCTTCGCCGAGGAGCTGTTTTGTGGGGGACATGATGGCAGGAAACTCGGGTCCATGAAACAGCACCACATAGAGCCGGTCCTTCTTTGTGTTAACGATAACTTCTGTGATCAACACTCTTGTAGATTCCATTGCTAAAGCTCTGTTTGACGAAAAAGTTCTCAAAAGCTTTACCTGAACAACATCTCCTTGATCATGAGAGCTCCCAGAAGAATCGTCGAGACGGGCAGCCACTTACCATCCTTGCAGATATGCAGGCTAGGACGTCCGCGTCTTCGATCACGACAGTGATGATGGTTGCGTCCGAGTGAGAGCTCAGGCCGAGAACTTCGTCCGGCTGGGGACAAGGCGGATAGTAGTTCACTCGCATCAGTGACGCATACTGCCCGCCCAGCTTCTGGATGTAATCCTCCGGCAGGCCGAGGCTTGCAGAGATTGCTGCTACCAGACTGATGATGACAAGCTTTATCTGCTTGCTGTGACCTCTCTGCAAGGAACTCGTCATTCGAGAGAAAAGAAAGAATACAAAGTTGAATCATTCATCTGCCTTACATCTACGCTTGAACGAGGCCATCGATCACTTACTCGAAGTAAGCGCGAAGCTCACGATCAAATTTGAAGCACTGCATCTGGAAAACCATTAGGTTCGTGGAGCTAGTTTGAGAAGCCGGCTTACCAGTATTACGTCCAGCCCTTCACCACCGTAGAGAGAAAAGTTCACTGTGGCGAGGAACGTCATTGGCTCGACCATTTTCCCGAAATCTATTCGTGCCGCTCGGACCAAGATTGCGGTGTAACTTCGTCCGGGACGGTGGAGGCTACGGCATTTCTTCTGTAGAAAAAACTTCGTTAAATTGACTGATTGATTGATAAAAAGTAGCAGCAGTGCTTGGAAAGCTAACCTTCACTCGGAGCTTTGAAACGCTAGTTTGTGGGAGGCTTTTCTTTACGAGATGCATGGCACCTTCAGCGTCCCAGAGCATCTCCCACTCTGCGTCTTCGTGGCTTTGACACCTTCTGTGGCTGCCTTGAGTCCGTCGTAGGCAAATATCACGAACACCTGTGAAGCAACAAAGTTAACATGTAATGGAGAAGAAGAAATGCTTTCATACCATGCATAGTTGAAATCTTGAGCCGGAAGGACACAAAGCCTACCCTTCGGGAGTGGCATGAACAGTCTAGCGTCATGACCCAAGAACACCATAGAAGAACACAGGTTTCTTTGCAAAAATAAAATACATGAGCAGACACTGTGGAAGAACAACGTACGTTACCCTTCCGGGTGATCAGTTCGTCCTAAGTCTGTATGAAAAGACCTTAGCAATTACCTGAGAAAAGCTTACTTGACGCATCCGCAGGGTCTGTTGTCTGGTCTAAACTATGCTATATGTCTTCAGAAAAGCACGGCCTGTGAAATAGAAAACACCAGAATAAAAAATCACATTGCTTACCCGAGTTTGCAACAAAGGTCCAAGAAGCATTTGTGTAGGGAGCCTGTGAACAAGAGAATTTGGACTGTAAGAACTCAAAGAGAAAACTGGCTTAAACGCGTACCATAGGAGCTTGCGAGTTCACAAACACGAAGTCCAAGATATCAATGCTGTGAACGCATCAGTTTCACCGGATTTCGTCAGGCTATCTGCGAAGAAGTCCATAGTTGCAAGCCAAAGAAAAAACAAACAGAGAAATTCCAATCCTCTACTGAAGGAGAATCTCCTCCACGAATGACGTCTTCGATCGCGATGTAATCGTCGGGCAAGCCGAGACTTGCAGAGGTTGCTGCGAATCTGCTCTCCTGTCACCTCTCTGCAAAGAATGATAAAAACTCGCCAATGGAGAGAAAAGAAAGAAAAGAATAGAAACGAACACAAAGTTGGAAAGTTCTGAAGGCCATGTCTCAACTTTTCTTGAACGGCCCTTCAGAGTCATATCGAGAATGTCCAGGACCGAATGAGAGGACGTGCCGTAGCGTCTGTATCCCATGAGAGCACCGGTGGTCTAAAATGGCAGAATGCCATCTGAAGACGCCGTGGTTGATTGCCTGAAAGTAGAAAATATGAGAGAGGAAAAATGTTTTTAAACAGCGAGCTCCTGGAAAAATCCCCAGTCTTTGCAAGCTTTTCCAGGCCGAGTTTCAACTTCTCTCCGAAAAACTCTACATACCAAGAACGGAAATGCTCTCGTCAGATTCATTCTGGACGGCCTTTTCAATCTCTTGCAAGAAACTAGCTGGGATTTCTTTCATCTCGGCAATCTGCTGCACTACTTCGCTGCTATAATATTTTGCTGCAGTAAAGTCTGTTATGTCATTCTGAAAGATCAATCAAGTTTATGTACCATGCACATTGTCTCTTCGAATATCGCAGCCACCCGAAATGCCAAGATTCTCAGGCAAGGTACCTGGAACAAACAAGACAATGCACTGGAACACGTTGCAACCGTTGACAACGAAAGAGAGATTGTTGATCCAGAAGTCATAATTCCAATTAAGATTTAGAACCTCAAGGGACGTCCATGTTCTTTAGGACCTCCATACATTGCCCTCGTGTAGCAGAAGAATAGGGGCGTGTCGAGGTTTTGCTAAGAAAGAAAACAATACCAAGGTCAGCTGTTACCATGAAGAATGTGTGTACCTTGGCAGTTTCTCGATCATGGCTTCTTGTGGTACTTTGCGGGGACGAAAGGCATCTTGGTGATAACTCCCGCGTTCTTCTTGTCTCGAACAGCCACCGAGATAGGCGTGCCTTCCTTGTGATTCCCAGTCGACACATACCCCATTGCAATGTTCTTCTTGAGGCAGGGACTAAAGCCACCGCTCGTCACCTCGCCAATCACCTCGTCACTTGCGTTGTAGATCGGGCAGTGAGCGCGAGCTGGAGCTCCTTCGGATATCATTCCCACTCTCTTCCTGGAAACGCCTTCCTTGAGCTGCTTGAGTATCACGTCGGCCCCTAGAAAGCCACCTTCGGCACGTCTTCTCTTTCCAATCGTCCAGGCGACTCCAGCTTCCACAACCGACGTGTTGTCGTCCATATCATGTCCATAAAGGCACAAGCCGGCTTCCAGTCTCAAGCTGTCCCTTGCTCCTAAACCCGTGAGAAGGATCTTCCCCTCAGACTTCTCCAGAAGTGCCTTGGCCAGCTCCAGAGCATGCTCCGACGGAACAGAGATCTCAAACCCATCCTCTCCAGTGTACCTACAAAGACAAGTGTTGCTCTTAGAAGAACAAGAAGAAGAGGAAAAGAAACTTACCCGGTTCTAGTGATGAAGCATTCGGCACCATTGACAGAGAGGATCCTGAAGTTTCCAAAGTAGACTTTGCTCAAATCCTCCTTCACCAGATGCTGGAGTGTAGACGCAGCCAGCGGGCCTTGCAAAGCGAGCAGAGAGCGCTCGTCGTGAACGTGGGAGCTCACGTCCTTGCCTTTGGACTTGTACGCTTCCAGGTGCTTGCCAATGTGAGCCAGATCCTTGTCTCGGCAACCCGCATTTACCACCAGGTAGACGTGACCATCCTTCACTTTGGTTATCACGGTGTCGTCGATGGTCCCTCCCTTCTCGTTGGTGAACGCCGAGAGACTACACGAGCCGTCTGACAGACCCGCGATATCACCCACGACCAGCGTCTCGAGGAAAGGAATCGCGTCCTTGCCTTTGAGGGTGAGGCCACACATATGAGACACGTCGAAAAGGCTACCATTCTGGCGACAATTGAGCGTCGAGTTGAGGATGGTGTCCTTGTACAGCAGCGGCATGCTCCATCCAGCAAAAGGCACCATCTTTGCCCCGTTCTCCACGTGAAAATCATACAGCACCGTCTTCTTTAGCGGAGGAGACTCACTGGCAAGAGGCGCTGCGCTTGCAAACCCACGACGAATCTGTCCTCCCGCATTGCTCACCAGTCGACCCAACTTCTCCGCTACTAGCTTCCTCATCCTCTTTCTCCTGCCTCCAAAAAATCCCTAGCCCGAGTTTCTAAACCTCTGTTCCTGCTACTAATAAACTAAAGTCGTCCCTGCTATAGCTTCCACCACTCAATCACGAGGTCCACATATCGCGAGACCCATCCACGAGCCAGCCCCCATCTTTATCAGCTTATAAGACCCTTTCCAAGGCTTGATAGGACCAGTTTACCACCCTGTTTGCTGCTGTCTTGTCGACGGTAATGCCATTTTCTTCGACTGCTCGCATGGCCTCCGCTTGAGTGGCTTGGAATTTTGATGCGGCTTGCTGGAGTTTGCACGACAAGTTTTCACGCTTTACGAAGACAAGGATTTGTAGCAGAGGCCTGAGCTCGTCTGCCAGCGGCGGACTTATAGCCATGTTCTTAAGGTGCTCCACTAGAGCAAGCTCTTCTCCAGGACTTAAAAACAAGAGGTAGGTTAGAATCGAAACGAAGTAGCATAAGTTCCTTACCTCCCTGCTCGAACTTTGCCTTGGCGTCTGGCTCGGGTTCTTCCTGTCGCTGCTGTTCTTGCAGTCCTGACACAACCTCAAAGTTAAGATGGCAAAAACAAGTAAAAAAGATCAGCAAACGTACCCGCGTGTATAAACACTCATCCCACTCAAGTTGCTACTAGCCTCTGATGTGGTCTCGTCGTCGAAACGGTCTTCTCCTTGATCCGATTTTATCTTCGCTTCCAGCAGTACCCTGCGCTGATGTACCGCAACAAAGCGAGCACAATACTTCCCGACTTTCTCGACGCCCTCCTGGAACTGACCAACCAATCCATTTGCGCACTCCACAGCAGCTGGCTGTACTATAGTATCTACGATATCGGGCTGAGCATGAAGGTAGCACAGCCGAAGGACTTCCATCCAGTCTCTTGCCTCGATCAAAAGGCCGACAGCATCCTTGACGTCCTTACAGTAATCCAGAGCTACTCTCGCAGCTTCTTTTGGCCGTCCCATTGCTTGGAGTTCTTCTCGGAGCTCCAGTGCAAGGTTGGTGATCTCGTCGGGTGTCATGCTCAACTGGCCAGCAACCATGAGCACACCCTGCCAGTGACCGCCAGCACGGTACGCAGCTAAAGCCTTGTGGAGCTGCGAGCAGGACCTGAAAGTGATAGCTGCATCCTCAAACCTTTCCTGAGAAAGGAAGTATCCTCCCCAAGCCTCCATAATAGACGACCTTTGGCTCTCGCCTGTAAAGATGGAGAGTGCGAGCGAGAAGAGCTCCGGATGACTTTGGACGTGATCGAGTGCCTCGTTGAAATACGTCTCCCCGGCGCTCGAAAGATGTCGCAGTGCACTTGCATATCGTTTTAGCTTGCAGTCGATCTTGTAGCACATTATGGAGGGTGGCATGTCTTCTAGCTCCTGAAGGAAAGGAAGGAACTCTTTAGGATCTCGCTGGGAGTGAGACGCCACCATTGCAGCTAGATGCAAGTCGTAAAGTCCCAGCGCCGCATCAAACACCGCGTCGGCGTCTGCGAGCCATATCAGGTGCTTTAGAGCGCTCTCCGCCACAAGTTTTCCCTGTGACTCAATTGCTTCCAGAGCCTCCTCATCATCTGAAGTTCCGAGACCAAGCTCTCCTTCACGTAGTAGCTTGATGCGTTTCAACGCCTCTTCGAGCAAAGGCGGATCGTTTCGAGCAAGAATAGCCAGCAGGCACATCTCTCGAGATGGACTATCTGTTACGTGATTTTCGACAGCACTTCTCAGCGCTTCTAATACCACTTGCATCTTGTTGGATGAAACCGCCGGGACCATCCTGTTCTCCGGATTCAGCGTAGACAATGTCTTCTTGTACGTCGTTTCCAAAACGTTCTCGTTTCTCAGGCAGCTAACCAGCTCCGTGACAAGGCTAAGTTTGCCGACTTGCTTGACAAAGTCCGGGGCCAAACAGGAAAACTCCTTCTCACCAAGGAAGTCCACGATGACGTTTAGATCAATCCTGTGCCGCCGTGCGCAGGTGATAGCTTCTGCAAAGTCTTTCTCAGCTAGTGCCGCTTCGACAGCGTGAAGTATCAATCCCCGTGGATAAATGGTCTCGAGATTCCCACGGCTGGGTTGCATGATGACCGCAACGTCGCTGCCACCTAGAGTAGCAACTATCCTGGCTCCCCTCTCCCAAACACGCTGAATGTTGAAATCCTTTGGCGCTGGTTGCCGTTTACCGCTACCAACGTCTAGTACTTCCGGAGGAGAAGACGTGAAGTTGCTGCTACCGAGAGGGATAATGTGGAGCAAGTCTTGCCTTGTTTTATAAACCAAGTGAACGACGCTTGGCCTCGCTTTTGTGGATGTGATGTGGAGTGCAAACCCGGTGCAGTCGCTGCTGATGATGGAATTACGAAAATGGAGCTGGCCGCGTTCGTCAAGGCCGACAAACTGCACCTGTCCCTTATCTTCAAAAGCTTGCATCCACGGACATGCAACTGGAAACTTTCCAACCGGAGTAAGCTCTCCAGCGCAATGGTTCAGGATCGATCCGTCATTTAGCTGTAGAAAAGCCTGCGAGCTCTCTGTAAGGGGACTTCTCGCCGCTGCTATGAGCGGCTTGTCCAAATAGACTAGAGAAAGAGAACGCGAAGTCCATCCTTCTCCAGAATCTGTAGCCTCGAACTCAGTAAACTGTACCGAACCGTGACCGCTCGAGCTGTCTAGGAGTCCACAAAACCTGTTCACTCCCGTAGAAATCAGGTTCCTTACACCACCATCGAAGTTCTGCAATATGGATCCCACAACTTCAACGTCTTCCAGGTCGTTCCAGCCGTCACTAGTTGCAAGAACAGCAAGGCCAAAAGTCTGGTCTGATAAACTGGCTGCAACGGTGGTAAAACCAGAAGACCCGCTCGTAAGTGCCACAGTATTCACAGGTGCAGGAAATCGTACCTTGGAGAAGCACAAAGGTGGCGGAGTTATACAGACAGCCAGTGGTGTGACCAAAACACTCGGGCCATCAATAACCAGCGCCACCGAAGACTCCAGCACAGCTGACTTCCAACCCAAAGTGGTAGCTTTGACGTTGCCCAAGGCAGTCCAAACCATGGCACTGAGAGGCTTCTCTGGGTGCCAAACTGTGCTCACGGTCTCTTTGGACGTGTAGCGCCATTCCTGTTTCAAGTACCAGTGATAGTTGCTGCAGTACCAGAACTGGATCGTGTCCCAGCCATCACACCTGACAACCATCTTCATGACTTCTCCGCTGGAATCCCACTGCAGACTTTCTACACGAGCACCGGCAGGAGCAGTAGCCTGGAAATAATCTTTTTTCAGACCATTCCGCTCGAAGATCGTCACACTGGGAGCCTGGTCTGCCTTGGAAGTGCTGGCAGCAATTCGAGCACCACCCGGACTCCAGCAGATGCTCGAGCGATGCGTCGATGGCAATGCTTCACAGCTCGAATGGAGTTTGCCCGTTTCTCTTTCCCAGATCTTCACGACACTGCTGCTTTCTTGAGCATTGTATTCGCTTGTAGCAAAGTACTTCCCGTCAGCCCGCCACGAGAGTTCCACAGCGCTACTGGAAAATTCCTGGCGATCGTTGTTTTTGATCGAAAACTCGTGGACAGTGTCCCAGTTTGCTGGAGTCATGAGTAAGATCTGCCCGAGTCCTGATACTATAGCTAACAGTTCCCCATCTGGACTAGCAGCGAGACTAAGAATCCCTCCCTGGAGCGAGCCAATAACTTCTATGGCGCTGCTAGACCGTGGCTCAACCAGTACCAGATCACCGCTCTCCATGCCAATGACCAGCGCTTCCAGCTCCAGCAGGAATTCCATCCCGACCACGCCAGCGTCGAACTCGATGGCACTCCCCAGGGACAGCGAATGCCGCGAGAGCTGATCAAAAACGAAGAAGACGATCCACGATTGGCAAAATATTTCGGATTGAATCGACATACCTCCTCTTCCCAGTGGAGATTGCCGCCATTCGAGAGAAAGAAGGCGCGATCGTGCCCGCTGTCGATTGCCGCCGCGACGATCCTCTCATCCCCGAGCTCCAGCCGCGAATGCCTCTCTCGCAAAACCTCCAAGTTCTTCATAGCTATTCTAGAACCCTAAGGCTTAAAAAGATTTTCATTTCTATACAGTGTGCTTATTAGACAGGGTTCTATCGACCAATCCAGTCATTTCTTCGCGGAAGATTTCGCTCCTCCCCCGGCTGCATTCGATCCAGCCCCTGCTTCTCCCCCCGCGGCTTTCCGAGCGTTTTTCTCCTGGAGCGCCTTCGCATCTCTGGAAATCAAAAGAGAAATCCACCCAGTTTCCTCACGAATCGATCGAAATCTCGGGCTACCTCTCTCTCCTCTGCTCCGGCGTAAGATCATCCTTTGCCTTGCCGCCTTTGGCGGATCTCGCCTGAGCTCTCTCGCGATCTTTCTCTCGCTGATTTCCCCGTGAGAGATTCGCTAAGGATCAAGCAAACAGAAGAGAAACACGAAGAAGAATCAAGGATATTGGTCATTGCTCCAAATCCAGCAAGCGCCTTCCGCCCACGCCCTGCCCTAGCTACCTTTGACCTATCGTTCTTCTAAAATTTTCTCTGGATGAATGTATCTAGATCGTGGCCGTGCGTTTCTAGATTAAAATATTCAGGTCCGTAGGATCTAGGGTTCTAGAGCTCGTGAGCTCTGGCTATGGAGCGGGAAGTGCCCGACATCTCTAGGTGGGTGATCGTCTACCCTGTTTACATCAATTCGAAGAAGACGCTGGCGGAGGGCCGACGCATCGCCGCCAATCTTGCGTGCGAGAACCCCACTCTCGGTGAGATCGTCGAATCGTGCCATCTCCTCAAGCTCTCCACTGCCGCCGAGGTACTGGGTCTCTCATCTCTCCAGATCTAGCTCTATCTCACGAGAATTCCCCTCTCTTGTGGCAGCCCGAGAAAGCGTATTCTCGGGATTTCATGCAAAGAGGCCGCGTGAGAGTCCAGCTCTTCCAGAAGAATGCTCCAAAGACTCCAGTGAACCCCGGCATCACTTCCAGTAAGTTCTTCCCATCTTTTCTTCCTAGATCACGAGACCTTTGGGCAGGGAAAGCTCTAATGCTCAAGATCGCCGAGCTGGTTCCCACTCGAAGGAGAGACCATCAAAGCCATGCCGCGGCGAGCAGTCATTCTGGAGCTTCGGCATCTTCCGGGAGGGGAGGAAAGGGAGGCAGGAAAAAGAAGTGATCGATAGTTTCGAATCACGATCGAGCGCCAGGAGGTTTGAGATGAAAGTCTTTTCATCCATAAAAGCTCATGTTAAATCATCAACCTTTCAGGAAAATGCCTTGATCAAAACGTTGTCAATCCAATTTCTTTCATTTTGCTCGTGATACATAGGCTATCTAAAATTTGCCACGGTTGCAATAGGGCTCATGGCTGCTGGTCGCAGTTTCTTTGTCACAGGGTCTCCGGTAAATCACAAAGTTTTGCTTGAAAATCATATTGATCCTCGGGCTTGGCAGGGAATTGGAAAGACCACTCTTATCGTCAAGGTAGTGGAGAAACTCAGGGCTACGCATCCAAACCTCAAAGTTCAAGGCTTCTATACCAGTAAGAAAAAAATTCCTTGACACAAAATCAGAGATTTCTCATCTCTTTGTGATTTAGAGGAAGTGAGAAAGGAGGGCGAGAGAGTTGGATTCGAAGTCATCGCTTTTAATGGAGGACGCAAGGAAATGCTAGCTTCGATCAATTCTCCAGGGTATCTTGAGAACTTGTTCGTGTAAAAATCTGATTTTTACAATGTAGCCGGCTTCCTATGGTGGGACGATACAAGGTGAATGTTCCTGGCTTTGAAGCTCTCGCATTGCCCGAGCTAGAGGTAAATATATGCTGCGGTAGAACTTCACAGTTTGTCATGCTTTTGCGTTTCGCAGCCACTGGAAGACACCCAGCTTTTTGTGATCGACGAAGTTGGCAAGATGGAGCTCTTCAGCCCAAAGTTTTTTCCTGCCGTGGAAGCATTGCTACAGCGTCGTAATGCTGTGATCTTAGGCTCGGTTCCTATCAAACATTCATCCAAAGAAGGTATTGCTAAGTTTCGTAAAGAATGGGAAATGCATGACTGTTTCTTACATCTTGCAGTGGAGAAGGTCGTGAGCTTTCCGGGGGTAGCAGTTCTCACACTTGACAAGAACAACCGGGATGAAGTTGCTGACAAAATATACAAGGACTTGAGTGTTTTGCTTGGATGAAACTTCGTTTCATTTCGTAACCAGAGTTTGCTGTTAGATTACTTTGATCCTAGCTGCAAAGTCATGTCCATAGCGCTACAAATCGGTTAAAGCTAAGGATAACATCAAACCTTGTTGAGTGGTTTCTCACTCGCAATCAAATTGATCAGCTCCGGTTTCCACATCCTCCGTTTTAAGATCGCCATTTTGAGCCATGAGAATTCGGTAGATTCGTCTCGAGCATGCTGGACCGACACGCCTTCGGCTGTCAGCTCCCTCCTTCTCCAGGTCTTGGAGCAAAAGTTCCTTGTCATGCACCTGGCCAAAGCGTTAAAAACTCAAAAAAGCTAGAACTCAACTGTCATTGAAGGATCCATGTAGGCGTTCAAGAGCGAACGAAACGAAGGATAGCGTTTGGATATCGCAATTGCAGCCGCTCCGGAAACCTTTGGAATCGCAACCAGAGTTTTCAGCCTGCAACCAAAGATAGGTCCAAACTTGAAAGATTCTCATTCCCCATACCAGCTGCTCTTCTTGATCACTTCCTTGTTGGGATCCTTGTCCACGATATGATCTCCATTCTTGCTCACAGAAAGAGACGTGAGTCTTTGCCTGCGTCCCAAGAAACAAGTCGTGGTTACGTCAAGAGCGAAAGAATTCGTGGCTCATCACTTGTAAGGACATTCTATCAAGCTCCGCGTGAGAGCGATGACATGATCCGCCACTTCAGCTTCATCGATACACAGGCGAGAATGTACTCCACAGTAGTTTGTCACGAGCTCCGCCAGCGCCTGGAAACAAACTAATGAAAACCAACAAGAGAACATCAATAGAAATCAGGCACCTTGTCTGCGTTTGGCCGGATCCATTCACTTTCTCCGCGTTTAAACTGCTCTTGATCTCTGTGCGTGCAAACTATAGAACCTGCGAAAGAGGAGACATGAAAACTTACTTCTTCTGCAAGTACCAGTGGAGCTTGTTGACGAGATAACACACGGTAAATCCCGGATACTGTGCCTGGACTCGACGAACATGTACATCCAGCGAGCCTTGGCAAAGCAGTGATGAGAATTCTTCCGCTCCAAACACGAGAAGGACGTAAGGCACGTCGACTTCCTCGAGCTGCAAGGCAAGAGCAGTCCAGCACAAGACACATTGTTATTGATCACCTCTATCTCGTCATTTTCCGTGTCAAAACTCTCTGCTAGCCTCTTTGTTTTCCAGATGATACTCCCCGATATTGGATTCGAGCTGAGCGAGAACTTCAGCTCTTTACCAGCGAAAAGATTCAGCAACTGGCCTGTGCGATCGAAACAGTAAGCAATTAGACCATAGAAAAAACTAGAACAGCACTTGCCTCCAATCAGTCCATTCTCTGCGACCTTGCAATCGATTATCGCAACAGTGTTCTCAGCCGAGAACGTGCCTTTCTCCCATTTCGCCTTTTGCTGCTCATGCGTTCGTACTTGCGCTGCTTTCTCCTTAGCTCGTGCCTTCTGCAATCTTTCGGCCTAGGCAGCAAAACAAGCAAATGAAACTTCGCGAAGAAGAAGCGAGAGAGATCATACCTCTTTTTTTTTCCGCTTTTCCTCCTTCAGCCTTTGCTTCTCAGCTTCCTTTGCCTGCTTCCTCGCAGCTCGTTCCTCCTTTCGAGCTTCTTTCTCTTGCTCCAGCTTTCTTCTTTTGATTTCTCGAGGATCATCCACGGAGCTGGTCTGCGTGCCTAGAACAACAGCAATGGGGGCCGATCCATCCGAGTCCGAATCCAAGCACAACACATTGCTCACGCTGGCTCCTCCAGAAAAAAGACCACAAGAACTTTTCAATGTTCTAGTGGCGGTGGTGGCGGTGGTGGTAGCAATGGCAATGCTGGCAGAGGCACTCGCAAGGATGGAAGAAGACGATGCTTTCCAGTCTACAAGCAAATCCCCATCTTCGTCGTCGCCGTCTTCGTCTATTATCACCTGAGCTGGCCGAGCCATCCAATCCAACTAAAGTAAGATTTTCCCTGCTAGAGCGCTTCTACCACCGGGGAAGCTTGTCGATCATCTTTTCACGGCACCAAAATGCTGGAACTTCAATCCCGCTGGAGCCACGCTCGCTAGCTCCTAAACAACCGATCGCTTGCCTGACAAGATCCCCAGAAATGTAGCTCCTCCTCGTCAAGAACCCTAATCTTCGGGTGTAAAGAATATACCTAGCATATTCAGGTATCATTTAAGATATTCCCTAAAGTAAATCACTGTTTAACATTAATTTTATTACTTAGACCTTACACTTTAACGCTTCTAGAGTATAAAGAGTACTTTAGTTCCATGTAACACGTTCATGTTTTTTTCAGGTTCAGGTTTGTCCATCAATTGGATTTGTATTAAAGAGAAAAAAAACTTCATATTACTCACTGATGGTTGATTTGGCCAAAAAGGCCATATCGTTCATGCTCCAGGTTGTGCTGGAAAAAAAGAAATTCAATTTGAAATTAATAGAGCACACTTGGCATTATATGCCTAATTTCTCCTAGTAGCATCCTAAGACTGACAAATGGCCTGGTTAAGAAAGTGAATTAGACACTCAGAAGGCATGGAGTGATCAGCATCAAACCCATAACAGGAAGCAAGACAAACTCCCACCCAAATAACGTGCTAGACTGAGAGATGCTAGTGGACTTCTGTGGCAGTGAAACATAAGCAAGTTGCAATTAGAATTAGTATTACATACTTCACAATCACAAGGTATCCGGAGGGAAAAACATGGTTAGAGTATTTAGACTAAGTGTTATTAACATTGTCTACACAATCATTAGAGTTTTTGGTAAGAGCACAAAAGTATCAAGAACGGACTTACAATGCATAACACTCATCAAGTAGGTGATCTAGTGTTGGTGAAGTTTCTTTGCCTTAGAGATCAATATCATAGTTTATTGCTTTGGTATATTGGATTATATTGAGCAGAGACTCAATTGGTTTATAGATTTATTGATTGATTTGAGTGGATGGAAAATGTGATTTGCAACACATAGATATGTCTCTCAAATCCAACCATTCCATAAATAATGATATTTGTAGTGTTAGTATATGTTTATACCATGGTAGATAAAAATTTCAATAAGCTCATGTTTAGCTCTTCTATATGTTTAAGTGAAAACCTAAGTATATCATTCATAACATACTTAAAAATATAAGTAAGTATTGGTTAAAAAACCAACTTATGCTAGTTTGTATAATGTATTTAGTGGTGTCAAGGTATTATTTGATATTAATTTATTTAAAGAGCCATATTCTAAAAATTATATATATATATATATCACCTGTATAACGCCTTTATAAATATTTACAAAAGAATATGATTTTTTCTCTCATTTGCAAGAAAGACTGTAAACTAAGCTTGCCATTTTGGTTCACTTTGATAAGCAATTCTAAAAAAGTATATTATCGATTCTTTTAGTTATGCAATACAATTTTAATATATGCTTTAAGTGTTAGCTTTGATAATAAACTTTGCATGGTTTCTTATAATTGATCTTGCTCCTTTACATGCTTGCATGGATGCAAGAAGTTGTGGGCTTGAAGTAATTGCAAAGGAATTCTGTTTAATTCCAATGAGAGATCTTATAATGGCATGCTTTTGAAGTCCTTGGAATAGAGTGATATATATATTTTTGTGTTGAATATATAGCAAGCAATATGTGATTGTAAATTTTGGGGGGAGGTGTATCTGGGTGTGTGGCATGGCAAAAAATTATAATGTATTGCAAGATATATAAATTTAAAACATATATATGCTTCAATTGTTTAAACATATATGTGACTCATAATATAATGTTTGGACACAATTCTTTTTTCAAGGTATGTATATATTGGCATGCATGTGACATTAGTGCCACTTCATGTGCCATAATCCATGTCAGGCTATTTTGCCATGGTTTAAGCTTTGGTGTCTGAGGAGTTCAATCTCACCTTAATTTTACTCATGGAGAAAATTGATCCTTGCACATTTCTGGGTGGGCAGCTCAAGAAGTTTAACCTCTCTACAAATTTCTTCTGAAGTCTTGAATAGCTGTTGTGCATTGTGTTGTGTATTAAGCAAGATCACCATTTGGAGGAGCTTATCCTTGGCAGAAACATCTCCAACCATATCCCTCCATCAATCAATTGAACTCCTTAACACCTCCTCTTGATATGGCACTACTGCACCACTATCCATCACATGCTCAAAATCCAGGCTCAATGAGATAGATAAAAAAGATTAGAAGAATTAGAAGGTCTCCATCAATCTTCTCCTTAGTAGGCAATGGCATCATACCAAAAGGATCTCAAGTGATAGCAACTTAGGTTAATCAAGAGACACTCTTTCTCACCAATTGAAGTTAAAATCCATAAGAATCTCTCATAGATCATATGATTCCATTGTGGAGGGATAGCCATGTTGTCATGGATGGCATCTCTATGAGTGATTTTATAACAATCATGCAATGGAGGCCATGAAGTTCACATGTTATAAATGTGATTGTGGGTATCGAAAATTATATGTCAGTAAATTTTTTCAGATATTCTTTCCTTACTGCCATGATGATAAAAGATTGATATTGTTTGTCCCCTTTTCAACCTCTTTTGTTAAATGTTAGTAAATTAAGTTTAGTATCTATACTTAGCCAAATAAATATAAAGTAGAAACTCCTATATATTTGCTGTTGAGCATACTTGGCTTGACTCTTAATTTTCTTTTGGTCCATCTTGCACTAACTTGACAAAACCCTTGCCTATTGAGACTAATCTTTTAATATTGCTACATAATAACTTATCATGTTCGCCAAACACCCTCATTATCATGTCCCATATATTAATCCTGTTCTTTTCCAATTACTATTTATGGAAAGTTTCTAGATTAGTGAGTAAGGCATATTTATGGAATGTAGAAATTGTCTTAAACACGATAGTGTTGTTTTTATGTCTAAATTCCTAATCTAGCATCATTCTATATTTAGTAAATTTTTATGATTGTCCTAAAGATTAACTCTAGGACTGGGGTGAAAGCTAAAAGTGTTCCTCAAAGCGTCAAAATGTATAGTATGGATAAAAGGTAGATCAAGTATGGTTGACCAACCTAAGGCATAGTACTACTTATGTATTTGTATTTATTTTGTGTCCAAATTAGGTTTAAGCTTAAACTTCATACCATACTAGCAAGTGGATTACTTATATCCTTACATTAAGCCACTGGTATACTAACATTGTGCCAAATTCCATTTGGCTCTATTTTTCATGCTAGTCCTAGCATTACGATGCTAGATGCTTTAAAATTGTTCTAATATCACTCTGTGCTTTTGCTCATTCATTCATTGGGTTATACGCTTAGAAGTCGTTCTAAGCTCCTACTCTTTCGCCCTTTGGGTTGTACACTCATAAATTATATTGTACTCCACTTCTTTTGCTCTTTGGCTTTATGGTTAAGAGTTTGGCTCCATCCTTTCATTTAGAGGTCCAAAGCTCTAAACTTTGGGTTTTGTTTTGCTGCCCTTAGATATATGGCCAAGGCTAGGTTTCATTCCATCTATAGTAAATCACTATAGGGTAAAGGGTGAAAGACATATGTATTACATCATATCATGCAATGGAAATCAATCTTTGATGCAATTAACAAATACACTTTATTTGTTTTATTTGCAAATAAAATGTTGAGTGAGAGAAAAAAAAACTGCCATTTACCTTGCTCTAGATAGTGCATACAGTCTCTCGTTAGATGTATGGATCTCCACAAACATATAGTGAAAGCTTTGTGTCTTGTGCTTTCCACTTGTAGCTCGTAAAAAATGATCTCTGTTCCACACTTTTTGCACTCAACAAACCTTGACAAACCATTTAGTGCATTTTTAAAAGAAAAGGAAATGAAGCCACATGGTCAATCTTCCCATATTGGACAATTGCCTTCTTGCTGGCAGTACCAAACTATCCATATGAGTAGAATTGATAAAATCTTCACCAGCTGTCTCATGCTTCTTCATGGAGAAATGCTTAAGCTTTGGCAGTCCTAAGTCTCACAAGAGCTGGCAAGCCATGCAGTTTGACTGGTTGGTGCCTCCAGACAAAGGTCTCTCTTTTGTTGCTACATATTTACAAGTGCAGTAAGCAATTGAGATAAACAGAAACCAACAATTGCATGAGACTCAGTGACAGTCCTGGAAAAGAAATCATCCTTGGAGTCTAGAGCAGTGGCTGGAAGTTTGGATGCTCTCAAATGAAACGGATTGTGCCATCTGACAACCCCCAAGTTAAGAGGCTTGAGATTGATCCCAAAGTTCTCAATAACTTCTTCAACTTCCAGATAACTTATCAAGTGGTTGACCTCTAACATGCTCCCATCTTTCCTACTGTCACATTTGCTCAAGCTATAGTCCAAGCTCTCTTCATAGTAAACTCTATGGGAACCACCACCTCCTTTGGAATTCTGATGACTTGAGTTCTAGTCCAAGCTCTCATCCTGGTAGTGATTGGTGGTAATAACTATCATGCTTTCAATAGTGTCTCACTGACAAAGATCTTACTCAGTCGCCATCTAAGGAAAGATCTTTCAATGCACTAGACACAATGCTCTCAATGTATTCTTAGTGACATCACTTTGTATGGGATGACATGCTTGTCATGCCCCATACATACATGGCATGTAAATATTATACAGACAATCAAGTTTTCAATTGCTATTATAGCAATCAAAAAGTGATTGTGTGCATAATATTTTTGCAACTCAAAACAAAATAAAATAAATCATACTCACATATGCAATCACATAATCATTGTCATATGAATAATCTTTGATAGAATTAGTCATAATATTTTTATAGTGAGCTTGAGCTATTTGACAACATGCAAGTCATACTTGTTACTTTCTCTTTAAGTTGTTTTTAGTGTTTCAATAATCATGTTAAGAATATGTAACCCAAGAAGAAAACGTTACTATATAGTATAGGAAAGTGCTTTCGATTGCATGTCTTGAATGAGAGTGACCAATCCCTGGAAATGCCCTAAATCAAACCATTGGTTCCCAATTTGAGCTTCACATTCACAGGCTTTTACTATGTTGATCATGGCTTGCTTAAATATAAAACTTATGTAGAAAAGGAACAAGAAGAAAGAAGAGAAAATTGACCACTCATGGAATGTTGGAGTTGCCTTTGAAAATTCGTCGCCATGATCAAGACGTGATAATCGTGTGCCACAGTAAGTCAAAGAAGTCGAGTTCTTTTTGAACAATCTTTGACTATAAATTGGCAGCTTTGTCGCCAAAGAATTTCACACGTCCACTTCATATAGTTAGTAATTGTCCAATCTGAAGGCTCAGATGGAAATAGCTCCAGAAAACGAGAGCAAACTTCCTATAGTTCGTGTGGAGAAAGTGTTGCTAGTCAAATCCAAATCCAAATCCATCGTGAGGGACGATGCTATTTCACCAAGGATCATGTTTCTCAGCAGCATCGACCAGCGATTTGGAGCTTACCAGCGCAATCTCCTTGTTTTCTCGGCCCCCGAAAATCCCGAGGTGGTCTCTTCCGGGATCAAGCACGCCATGGAAGAACTTCTCGTGAGCCATGATTTCTTCTCCGGGAGGTTTCAGCGAAACCATCTCACACAAAAGCTTGAGATCCGCTGCGATGACTCTGGGGCGATCCTGGCTAGTGCTAGAGCTGATCTCCGCCTCGAAGGCTTGCTCGCTACCATGGATTCCATCTCCCATCTTTTCTTTTGCTTCCCAGTGGACGCTCGATCGATCGAAGAGCTCCCAATGCTCACGATCCAGGTAAAGAACGTCATCGATCGCTTTGTTCTTCTTTATACGTTTTGGATGTAGGTGACTGGATTGAGCGGCGACACTGGATTTGCTATCGGTGTGCTGTGCCATCACGCCATCACCGACGCTACCTCGGGGATCAGTTTTCTCTCCAATCTGGCATCCATTGCTCGCGGCGCTGGTCTCCTCTTCCATCCCAACTCCGATCGCAGCGTCTTCAAGGCCAGGCATCCTCCCCAACCCAGCTTCCCCCACCATGAATTCATCCATCACCCAAATCTGGATTCCAGCCGCTATGCGATCACGCTGGAATCCGCCATTTGCGTCGGCGAGCGATCCAAGAGAGCGTCAGGAGAGATCAAGCGACGCAAGGCCTTTCATTTCTCATTTGAAACACTAACCCATCTCAAGAACAGCGTGCTTGCAAGTGTACCGCGCGGTTGCACCACGTTTGAAGCGCTGGCGGCGTACGTCTGGCGGTATGCCGCGCGGTACTCCAAGAAGGTGCCTGAGGAGACCTCGCGGCTTCGATTCGTACTGGACATCCGCCGCACGGTACAGCCGCCGCTAGACGCGACGTTCGTGGGGAACGCGATCTACTGGGCTCACGCGGAGATGACGCAGCGCGATTTGGTGGGCGAGCCGCTCGGGGCGGCGGTGATCGAGATCCAGCGCGCGCGCGCGCAGATCACCGACGAGTACCTGCGATCCGGGTGGGATTTCCTGGAAGAGAATCGCGATTTCTGGTACTCGTCGGGGAATTGCGACGTGGGGATCAACGCTTGGCCGCGCGCGATGCTGGGCGCGCGGGAGCTGGATTTCGGGTGGGGCAAGCCGTGCCGCGCGGTGTTCCCGCTCGATCCAGAGACGAGCACCGTCATGTTTGTGCCCGTGGATGGCGGCATCGATGTCTCGCTGTGCCTCTTTCCACATCAGTTGGAACAGTATAGCGATTTCGTGCCTACATTCGCGAAGCAATGATAGCGATTTCGTGCTCACATTCGCGAAGCAACCAAGATCTTGGTTGGCGCCCACCATTCCCTATGTTGTCTTGTCACGAACTTTCCTTCCATAGAAGTTCTTGCAAGTAAGGTCTTTCCTGGTCCTCAAAGAACGCGGAATCTGCTATGCTGCCAGTGCTTGACACTGAATCCTCCACTGATCGAGAGTTATCCTTGTGCGACTGAGAATTTCGCCCACAGACGTTTTAGTGGTCGTCAAATGTACCATTGTCGATTATAGCTTCATTCACAAACTAATTAGTTAACTAATTAAACTAATTAGGCGTGGCGCTGTAAAGATTGTCAGGCAGGAGAGCAACTTCTTTTGCCAAATGATTAATGACTATGGAGTATATTAGGCCAAACAAAGGTTTAGGATTTATTTTAAAAAGGTGTTTGTGCCTGATTCCAAGAGCAAGGATGGCAACCAAGCTTCAGCTCCTCCTTTAGTATTTCTATGCATCATTCTCAAACTTCCTTTTTAACATGTCGTTCTTTGTCATTGTACCCACGGCCACATCATGTAAGTGATTTCATTTCCATATAAACTCAAATGCTGAAGTCAATCAAATGCCAAACATTTGGGTGGAGGACCTCTTTTCAGCGGATTGACTGTGGGAGTGGTAACTCTCATCTCATCTATGGTGATTCCACTCTCCAACCTGCCAAAATTTAAGAGAAAGTATGGCCCAACTCTAGACTTGTCATTGGTTTCCCTGCTTCTTGGCCATATCATCTTGCAGACCGGACCAAAGTTCTCTACCTCATTCTGGTGGGGCGTATGGTAAATGGGATTGGTTTTACCGGGTGGTTCTTTGTGAAAAGGTATTATACAGATCCCTGTATTGTTGGTATTGAAAGGCAGACAATGTGCACAAGCTTGCTCATTCTCACCCAGACCCTGGGAATGGTTACAATCTTTGGAGGAGTTCTTGCAGAGATTCCTGTGGAAACATTGTTGTTCAACAAAAACACATCACCTGGCTGGTTCATGGCGGTGGTGTGGAGTGTCTTTTGGTTTGCTAGCAAAACTTTTGTTTAAAGACATGCTCTAGGTTTGCTTTCTCTGTTTAGTTGATAGTTTTTGATTGCTATTATTTCTCCAGCTTGATCAACACCATAACAATCACTCAATGGTCTACATGGTTTGCTAGTTCTTAACTTTGTTTTATATGTCTTTCCAGCCTAATCATCTAGAGAACCTTGCCCTAGTTCATCCAGTATTTACTTCCAAACTTGTTTTTATAATAAGAGGTCTTTTATTATTTTTTCCATATTAATTAATATAAACTTGAGTTTATCTTCTATTACTCGGCTTGGTGCCACACTTTGCCATTTACATTTGCATCATGTGGCAAAGCTAGTTTTTATTCTTTATAGCAACAGCCATACACACGCATGTGCATGAGATGAGGCAAACCTAATTGTGCATATAGGTGATCTCAAGTTTGAGTGTAATCATTGCGGGTGGTGATAAGTTAAGCTTTTGTCCTCATCCTTAGTATGGACTAATTGCAGCATAATTATGCCAAGTGTGATTTTAAGGTTTTTTTTTGTCTCATACTTCTTAATATTTCTTCCATTTCTCTCACTTTTGTTCTTCTTTGTTCCTTTACTTTTACCTCTACTTCTATCATTTTCGTTTCCCCATTACTTCTTTTTATGTTTTTGTTTTGTTCCTCTATTCCTTCTTTAGATCCCTTTGATAATTTTTGTGTTGTAGCGGTTAATTGGCTCATGAAAGAGTATATCAATTTCTTTGAATTTAATTTATTGTGTAGGGCTAAGATTGCAACATATCATCCTATTCCAACTAGGGATACTCGTTCAATCAAAGTT